TGCAGGGAAGGTATAGTACAAGTTACACGTGCAAACGTAGAAAACTGTAGATACTGAGTGACAATATTAACACAGAACAATAATTTAGTCGCAGAACAAAGCAGGAACAAGGACAAGTTATAGATTTATTTAATTTAAGTTAGATCAATTAGGCATTCACCCGCAAATTGTCCCTTCAAATTTTCTTATGGAACACTGCAGAGACATCAAAAATTTCCAAATCCGACTGAAAAGTGAGAAATCAGCGTGATTTTTTTGTTCATCAATTCAAACTTTCCGCTTGAAAAAAAACCGAAGCCTGCCGATATCCAATTTTCCACTTCAAATACTAGTTTAAGTATTCGTTAAAATGCAACACTATCTCGGTGTGTTCAATTTTTCCACTACGGTTTTGAAGAAAAGGAGGGAAATTTTTGTTGCATCCAATCAATAGCTCTTTGTCGGACGATGTATTGCTTCCAATAGCATATTGGAGCCACTTTCATTTTTGTCACCCGAGTGGGTCACTTGGACATATTTCTGCCAAACGGAACTATGTGCATTATGACGTGAGCCCTGTCATGCATATATTCTTATGGGGCTCAGGGCTCATGTCGTAATGCACATAGTTCCGTTTGGCAGAAATAAGACCATTTGAATTCACCAATTCTACCTCTAAGTAATATTTCTCACTCATCAGTTGATCTGCTTGAATAAGGTATATTTTACAACTTCAAAGTTTCTTGTTGAAAATTTTGATCAGGAAACGTATCTTGAAGTGTTTCGGTTCTTACCCCGTCTTGTGGTCCATTCGGACTGCGTTAAGCAGAAAGCAACCAAGCCACATTAGCTATTGCCAAATTTAATTGGGCAATTTATTTTTTACACGAGAACAGTTGTGCGGATTTTTGTGCAAATTTCAGTGAATTTTCTGTATAGTATGTGAGGCAAATTTCTTAACATTTTCAGAGGGATCCGCACCAACGTTTTCTTGTGAACGATTAAATTGCTCAGTTAAATTTAGCTGATGTGGCTCGGTTCCTTTCTGCTGAACGTGGTTCAGTAGAAAGGTACCAGGCCACATCAGCTATTGTCAAAAGCTGGGAAGTTTGATTTTCTACAAGATAACGTTTGTGCGGATTCCTTTGAAAATTTTAAGGAATTTGCTTTGCACCCGGCAGAAAATTCACTGAAATATTCACCAAAATTCTCTTAAGGTCTCATGTAAAAAATAAATTGCCCAATTAAATTTGGCAATAGCTGATGTGGCTCGGTTCCTTTCTACTTAACGCCGTCCGAATGGACCACAAGACGGGGTAAGAACTGAAACACTTCAAGATACGTTTCCTGATCAAAATTTTCAGCAAGAAATTTATTTTTTACATGAGACCTTATGAGAATTTTGGTGAATATTTCAGTGAATTTTCTGCCGGGTGCAAAGCAAATTCCTTAAAATTTTCAAAGGAATCCGCACAAACGTTATCTTGTAGAAAATCAAACTTCCCAGCTTTTGACAATAGCTGATGTGGCCTGGTACCTTTCTACTGAACCACGTTCAGCAGAAAGGAACCGAGCCACATCAGCTAAATTTAACTGAGCAATTTAATCGTTCACAAAAAAACGTTGGTGCGGATCCCTCTGAAAATGTTAAGAAATTTGCCTCACATACTATACAGAAAATTCACTGAAATTTGCACAAAAATCCGCACAACTGTTCTCGTGTAAAAAATAAATTGCCCAATTAAATTTGGCAATAGCTAATGTGGCTTGGTTGCTTTCTGCTTAACGCAGTCCGAATGGGCCACAAGACGGGGTAAGAACTGAAACACTTCAAGATACGTTTCCTGATCAAAATTTTCAGCAAGAAACTTTGAAGTTGTAACAGTTGTAATTTTCTAATTGTTGTATTCTAACAAGTAATTCTAACAAGTTGTAATTTTCTACAAGATAACGTTTGTGTGGATTCATTTGAAAATGTTAAGGAATTTGCTTCGCACTAGGCAAAAAATTCACTGAAATATTCACAAAAATCCTCACAACGATTCCATGTGAAAAATTAAATTGCCCAATTAAATTTGGCGATAGCTGATGTGGTTTGTTTCCTTTCTGCTTAACGCGGTCCATTTAAGTCAGGTAATTTTGCAACGTTAAAACGTGGTTGACTAGTTACGTTCCACGGCGATAAGTGGCAACAGAACGTTGCACCGAAAGCGGGCTATCATAATATTTACCGACACGGCATGCGTTGGAAATTATTGCCCTCCAGTGGCGTGGCGTGAATTACGATATATCGATTGTTATGCCAATTAAACCTATGGAAAAGGATCGATAAACAGGGTGTTCGCAGCGAACACCCACGATAATAGATTCTTTACCACAGGTTTAAATGGCATAACAATCGATATATCGCAATTCACGCCACGCCACTGTTGCCCTCCGAGTATTAATTGAATCAAAACAATTCCGCCGAACCTACTCGCTGCTAGGTTTTTTCCTCCCTCCCACCTCCCTCTCCCGCGGGGAGGCAATCCAATTAAGCGACGAGTTCTCAGCCTTCGCCTGCGTGCCTTGCAACCCCTCCCATCGTCGCATCTCACGCGCCTCCCTCTCCCTCCGGGGGGGGGGGGGGAGCTTTGTCTAACGCAAAGTTGACCCAATTATTGATAGTCTTTCGTGAGCAACTTGGCTCAAATCTTCTATTTTCCACGGATAAATTGGATTAATTCGGATGGGTGATTGAATGACTTCTCTGCCATGCTAAGGAAGAACGCCGTATGAACCTTCAGGCGATGCAAAATTTCCTCTGGCAAAATCACTAATTTTCGGGAACGTTTTTGAATATTTTTCTGCCAATTTCTCGGGTAATTTTGTTTGAAATTTGATCTGAAGTGTCTGAAAATTTCAAGGAAAAATATTTACAATTCTCCTCCCAAATGAACATTTTATCGTAGGAAATTTGGCAACTCTCGAATGTTCATACGGCGTTTTTCCTTAGCATGGCGGCAGTCCTGTAGTGTGGTGGTTGTGGCCGTTGGTTCCGTGATCTGGAGGGCATTGGTTTGGTTCTCAGCCAGAACACCCGAGTTTGATGGTCTCAACGATTGCTTGGGGCTGGTTGTTGAATATGAATCGGAGCTGCATGGAGAGGGTGATTTCGTGCATCGGATGAGTGCTAAGGAAGACCGCCGTATGAGCCATCAAGGGTTGCGAAATTCCCTCCGACAAATTACAAATTTTCAGACAAATTTGTGACGATCTCACTTCTAATTTTTCTGAGGATTTTGATCGTAATATGATATAAAACGTCTGAGAATTTCAAGCAACAATATTCATAACTTTCCCTAAACTTAAATATTTTCTGAGCGGAAACTTGTCAACATTTGAATACTCATGCGGCGTTTTTACTTAGCACTGCTAAAGTTCAGGTCTTATGGATCTTAAAGGTTTTTGAATCGCACGTCCCAAAAATTGAGGTCCAGCTACCGAAGTTCAGGTGTCACATTTGAAGTACTTCAGTACTTCAGCTGAAACCTCGATTAAGTCAACCGTATTACAGAAGAACTTCAGATATGTAATCCGAATTTCGGCAGCTGGACCTCAAGTTTGCGAATACACGATCCGAAAATTTCTGAGAGTAACCTGGACTTCAGGTCCTGAGCACGATTTTTTTCCCCGCGTATAACTGTAAGCGTTTGACTACACCCTCTGGGCACTTGTGGTAACGCAAGAAGAATAATAAAAAAAAATCAGCCTAGTCTTATTTCACGGTGCAAAATTTCCTCCAATGTTCCTTATTTTAACAAGAAAACTAAGTAGAATAATGCCTTGAAACATTCTGTGAGCAATCCCTTAGTGTATAATGAATATACTCACAAAACTCTAGGGTAAACTGTAGTTTAATTTTCTTGTAAAGTAAATTAATCATTTTAAAAAAAGGAAAAATCTCAAACGGTTAGGCTAATTCTTGTTTATGCTGTAACTGACTGTTACATGAAATTAGTTGCGCGAGTTTAGAGCATGTGAAGAAAGAGAGGAAATCAGTTAGATTTCTTGTCATCATTTTAAATGATAATAATTCATACAGAGTGCATAATAATTTCAAAATCATGAGTTGAAAAACGCTGACTCCGTGAGTTTGAATATAACAGCCAAGCATAGAGCGGCGCGCAGCGTGCGGTCAGCGCGTATCAGCGCCTACACGACTGCAGGAATACTTCTCGCATTGCGCATAGACTGCAAGGATACTTCACGCATTGCACGTATACATCCTATGCATACTACAGTGTAAGCGCAATGCTTGAAGTATCCTTGCAGTTATGTAGGCGCCAATACGCGTTTCGAGCTAGCCGCACGCAACGCGCAGCGCCGCGCCGTTCTCTGCTTGGCTCTTATATTCAAACTCACAGAGTTAGCGTTCTTCAACCCATGATTTTGAAATGTTTGATGATATTTGGCATTTAAATTGGGAGAGAAAAAAAATGTATTGAAGGAAAATATATTGTGTGTTTCGTGAGTATTAAGGGGGTTCCGTACCAACTTTAATGGTTGTCAAAGCACAGAATTTTGACTTAACTATTTTGTGCTTTTACTATGCTGCAGCGTGGTTTATGCGCAACCAAACGCTCAAAATTGGACTATAGTAGTCAGAGTAAACGATTTATCAATGGGTTAAAACCGAGGATTGTGTGCTTCTTGGTTTTTTTTTCATTTTCAATATTGTATAGTTCCTTTCAACACAACTACGGCTTATTGAAACTAATATTGATGCCATTGCTTGGAAACGTCTTCACGAATATTTGCCACACCAAGCGCCTACAATTTTTAAACCAAAAAGGAGTAATAATAGTTTAAAATTTGCTGCGGAAAAAGGGTTGTTTTGGGAAAAGTTGTTTGAAATCTTCATTTGCCTTGTTGGTCTACTTTCGATTCAAATTCCCTTGAATTGCTTTTCAAATAAATGTACCTGCATAATTTTGATTGCATTTCATTCTCAATTGAATTTCTCCCTTCTCTGCTTTCAGGTATGGTGATATGGTACCAGAGACGATAGCTGGTAAAATCGTGGGTGGTGTTTGTTCGTTAAGCGGAGTGTTGGTTATCGCTCTGCCTGTACCTGTTATTGTTTCTAACTTTAGTCGAATATATCATCAAAACCAACGGGCTGACAAGAGAAAAGCTCAAAGGGTAAGTTAAAATTTTTCAGTCGATCCAAATATATTTATTTTTGTAGTGAAGCAAAAATACTGAAAATTTCGATGAATAATGCTTATCCTGTGAAAATGTTTGCACGTTTCCTTTTTTTAAAATCACAGGCCACTGCTAGTAAATACAGATCGTTAAAATACTTAGAAGGAACAGGACCATGCAGTCGTATTTTTCTCGAGAAATCGAAGGAGTAACACGTCTTGGAGCAAAAAAGTTTTATCTACAAAGCAAGTTAAAGAAAAAATGGCGTAACCACAAACTCACTAACGATGATAAGAGGCTGTGCTCTTTGGCCGCTATATAGTTCAACCTACAGAAAGCGCTTTCCAACTCAATAGGCGCGCTTTGCGGACCAAAGTCAATTTAAATAGGGCAGATTTATCTAAAAAAACATAAGAGGAAAAACGGGAGACAAGGCTAAAAATTACACTTAAAAAAACTCGAGACGTTTCGGCCCAAAACTGAGCCATTTTCAGCCGGAAGAATAAAAATAAAATGTGAAATTCCAAATAGAAACCTGCAGACTACATGACGACCGAGAAAATCAAAACCGATTTGACCAATTGGGCTTTGATTTTCACGGTCATTATGTAGTCTGCAGGTTTTTATTTGGAATTTTTATATTATATTTTATATTTATTCTTCCGACTGAAAATGGCTCAGTTTTGGGCCGAAACGTCTCGATTTTTTTATGTGTAATTTTTAGCCTTATTTCCCATTTTTCCTCTTATGTTTTTGATATCACCATTTGCCACGGACTGCTGTTTTAGAAATTTTAACCTATGATCTGCGGGTTTATCTATGGACTATCTTCTTTCGATAATCGCTAAAACTATCAGAATTGGTCCAGTAGATCTAAAAAACAAACTGAGGCAAAAAAACACATTTTTTAAATGGGATTATTCGAATTTTATCAGGTAATATAGATATAAAAAATCTAGATCATATTTCCAAAATCTGGACAGAGCGCTGACAAAAAATGAAAATTCAGGGGATCAAAGAGCTTTTAGCAATGATGACGTAGCCATTACACCAATCTATCATAACTCGAAACCTTCGCGTGCAACGGTGCGATTCTACATCTCATCGCCGAGACTTGCCGCGTCAATATTCAAGGGTCTGACGTCATGGGGATGAAATCAAAATAGAAAATCAATAACAAAAATTCAAATCCCCCGAATTCGTGGCGAGGGGGTCCGCTCAGGTGGGAACGCGTGATGCGAGAAGGGAGGGGGAAGAGGGGAGCTCTCCCGCGGAGGTGAGGGAGGGGGCGGTGCGCGGGGGAAAGTTCAGGAAGGTCACGAGAGATGCGAGCAGAGACACCCCTCGCCGTGGAGATGCGCCAAAATTTCACCGCGAGCTCCATTGAGTGGGGTTCCCTAACCTGGCGAGCGGTATTTTACTGCGTTTGAAATTGATTTGGTCGTTGCGCCACACAGTGGATCGAGCCAATCAGAGAGGTCGGACTGGGGTGCCTCTGTAGGGTAAGTATGAGTCCCTTTATACTGAGAGTCAAGACAATTTGAATCCATTTCTGATTGGTTACCGTATTTTAGGCCTCCACAGTGTCACAAACGGGAATAAAGATTACATTTTTACCAACTGCAAAGATTATAGTCTGGAATGGACCAGGGAATTACGGGTTCGGCAAGGAACAAACGGAATGAGAGGAGGAACGGAGAAAGGCATTTGAGAATGGGCCGATCAAAGATTACGAAAAACGTTCAATTTGTGTAATCTTTATTCCCGTTTGTGACATCCATGAGCCGAATTGTCTTGACTCTCAGTATACAGGGACTCTAGTATGGACACGTCGAAAATTTGGAGGTTAGGTTTGATTGGGTTTGTACAAAGACATAAAGACGGAGTGCTCGTATCTAAAAGCACGGGGAAAAAGTGAGGCCTGGTTTGGCGCTGGGTGCTTGTGTGAGTGTGTAAATGAGCGCGGGAATCCATGGCGGCAAACGGAAATTTGATTTGAACTTGTCCTCTTGATTTTTGCACATTTCTTCTTCGAAACGTATTTTAAATGCCTGAAACGAATATATTAAGAAAGTTGGGACTGCGTCCTATTATAATACACCTACTTTTGCTCGGTAACAGGCAGTAATCTCAGATAAAGTTAGTTTTTCTTCTGCTCATGGTGGTTCAGCAGGTTCAAACAGGCCGTTACAGTTCTAGATGACCGTTACTCCCATATGAAATTAATCTGCCGACGACGGACCAAAGCTAACCTAAAGTTAAAGAAATATGAGTGGGTAAGTGAATTTGGGCAAAAATCAACCTAGAATACTTTGTTTCCGCAATTTTATTTAGTTCCCGCCCTAAATTTGAATTTCAAACTTGTCCCGATTTCGCCGCCAATCCTCTAGCCAATAGTAGAGGTGGTTGAAAAGAAGCTTCATTTTTTGCTTTTAGCCCTCCGTCTTTATGTCTTTGGTCTTGTAGCTTTTTTGGTCCAAAAAGGCAGCCAACCTATGAACTCGAACGGGTCAGTTGAGAGTAAATAACACTACACTTTAGAAGGTTTAAACAGCATCATTCAAAGAATATTTTTATTCGTATTTTTCCACCTAGAAAATCAAGTATTACAGAAAATATGTAACGTCGCAAACGCAGTTACGCATTTCTGCAGTTTCACCATCGATATATTCTAGACATTTTTTGTTCGAACTTATACAGAATTTAATAAATCTTTCGTGTTATTAAAATAATCGCTGATCTCAGAGCCAGCTTTTATCAGACGTGGTGGTTTTTTCGGAATCAACGTTGGAAGTTCACCTCACGAACCATTGCCGGATCCAGCCGGACATTGTTTTTCTCCATTTAAACCCATCGAAATGTATCGATTCTTGGAGGGGCCAGAGGCTCCCACAAGAATCGATTATTTAACATAGGTTTAAAATGAGGAAATCCAGTGTTGCCAAATTGCCGGATCCGCCTCTCTTACGAACAGTCTCTTGAGCATTTTTTGCTCTTGATAGTCCATTTTAGTTGGAATCATCATCGCGTTTCTCGGAAAACGAAACGGCAAAACCCTCGCTCATCGAAGTAGTCTGAAACCAATTCGACGAAGTTGTCAGTCGGCTATTCTGCCGTGCTAAGGAAGAACTCCGTATGAACATTCGAGAGTTCCCAAATTTCCCTTGATAAAACGTGTATTTTTGACGACATCCATGCTTATTTTTCTTTGAAATTTTCAGATCTTTTGGATTAAATTGCGTACAAAATTGTCTGAAAATATCGGGAAAAAATATTCACAACTTTCCCAGTAAATTCAGATTTTATCGAAGGAAACTTTGGCAACGTCTGAAGGCTCATACGGCGTTCTTCCTTAGCACGGCAGTATTATACGCGACTCAAACCTCCGTGCGAACCCTCAGAAAGGAGATTAATCAGAAATGGGTAATTACCGCCCTCGACGATGGGAGGCTTGCGGCGGACTTTTTATCATCGGGAAACCTCTTCTCGGAACGATAAAAATAAACCCGGCCGCGGCGAGTGTCAATACCGCGCGTCAGTCGAACTTCAAAACCGCCCGTGCACCGGGGCGAAATGGGCCGTGAAATCGCGGCGAATCAGTTCGCTTTCCAGGGAAACCGTCATTTTCAAACCCTCTCGCCGGCCAAAACCGCCCAACCACCGCACGGAACCCCCGGTCGGTCGCGCGGTTTTTACCCGGCACGGAAGAATGGCACGGCAGAATTTATGTTTTGACGCCTGCTCGCGGGGCTGTCGGACGCGGCGTGAGACTTCCGGGCTCGCCGGCCGGAAATCGGGGCTCAGTGCAGGCGATTTGGCAACCTGGGGTCGTGTTTCGAGTGGCGTCTATTAATAGCCGCGTCCGCGGGAGATTTTCAGCCGAGACGAATGCGATGCTCCGCGATTAATGAGCAATTAAAATTTTTTTCAGGGGTAGGACACCTCACGTGCACCGTTGTCGAGTCGCGGGAAAGCCACTATTTTTTTACGGCTCGATAGTTCTATAGTTCCTGTAGGACCGTATTCCTAGATATCTCATTTAATACAAACTAGCCTCGCCTAAGAAAAATGTCCTATGAGCAATCAAATTTTGCCAAATCGAGAAAACCAATGGAACCACTTTTAGAACCTCAAAGTTGTGTAAAAACGGAGTTATAAGCTTTTAAAGTTTCCAAATTATGTCCAACCGCTCCTATTGACTCGATCTACTAGGATCGCTGGAGCTGTAACAATAGTAACGGTTAACTTACCAAGAAAATATCTGGTCTTGGACCCCTCATTTCTATCAGCAATATTTAAATGGTAGACATTTCGAGCAGAATGAACGACTTGCTGAAAAGTGTTAAAAGAAGAGAAGAAATGTTGGCACTGTGCGTTTGGATGATAGGTTGGTGATATTCCGTCAAAACTGAGGTAACGCAAAATTAGCGTCTTAACCTACATTAGCTAATTACTTCGGAATACTTGACTGCCTCAACCCGTCGGAAACGTTGACAGAAGCGTCTTAAAACTTGACAGTTCTGTCGGCAACCGTATTTTTTATGTGGTCGGTGTGTCATGTCTCTTGCCGAGAGAGCTACGTGCAAAATATCAAGCCAAATAAAACTAAACTAACGGATGTTGAAGCGTTATGAGCACAAATCACACGTTTACTCTCTATTGCAGAGTTGTTGGTTTAGTTGAATGGAACAAGACTCACGAAAAATGGCACCATAATATTTCTTCCTTCAAATTTTTTAAAAATTGTCCAAATCTTTTCAAGAATTTTTACTGAAATTTTACTGAGAGAAGAAAATAATGATCGATCTAAAATTAAACCATGTTAAAATAAGCAAAAATATACACTTGTTTGCATTTTACACTCCGTTTAAGAAAATAATAAATGCACAACGATTTCCGACGGTGAGGTTTTTTAATCGTATTTTAAGAAAAATCTTTTGATTGTTCAAATATTTTCCAGTGACTGCAGATTATATGAGTATAACTTAGATATTTTC